ACATTTTAATGGTGCGATCCCGAATAATAATTTTAAAACATGTGTTAGAATGTCATACCGTCACATAACTTTAAAATTCGGTAAGAGCTCACATCATAACATTTTATTTCATTTCATTGTACCAGAATGGTCATATCATTCATATCATAGTATTGATATCATAACTTTAACTTTCATGAGTATAAAATTCGTCAACATGTGAAAAAAATAATTAAACGGGACATAAAAAAAATACTGCACCTTATATCCTACCTTGTTAAACTGCTTTAATTTTTGAAAGATAAAACAAGAATCGTGTTCCCTTCTTTCCTTCTTTTTTTATTTCTGCCTCTACTATCACTGTGAGCAATGCACGTATATTTTTGTGTGTCTATTTCGTGTGGTGCATTCCATATACATAAACAGTTGCACCCTAAATTTCGAAGTCTGTGTATTATGGAAGAAACGTGTAAAAGTGGGATATGGTTATGGATAAAATAGGGAAACAGATATTTTGAATTAAAGATATTTGACTAAGTCTTGTCACCCAAAAGCCATGCATTACCGTACACATAGAGCATCCCTAAATTCAAAGTTCTAGTAAGATAACAACAATAGATAAAGTTCTCAACCACCACTCACATCCTCCCATATCCTTCTGTTTCTCTCTCCATTTTTTATTATAAAATTACTATTTAATCAATTAAATCCTATCAAAAGCCACTCTCTTTTCACGTGTCTCCCTCATTAAGTCTTTAATTCATTAAACAACACAATTAAAATATAATTTACAGCTACATCTTTCGACCTCAATAACTTGGTTTTTGCTAATCCAAATTAACTTTTTCTCGAACCTAAAATGCATGATTAAATATGAGCTTTCCAACGAGCCCAATATTTATATACTTATTTTCACACCGTTAATATCTACATTTTAGCCTAAATTATATTAAAATTTACTTTATATACACTTTAGTCCCTAAACTTTCAAAATATTAAATTATAACATACATAATTTAAATTCTATTCTACGAAATGTCGGAATATTACAATCTCCCCTCCTTAAAATATTTTTGTCCTCGAAAATTTACCTTGGTTAATCAATGAGCTCTGGATACTTGGCTTTAAGCTCCTCTTCTTTCTCCCAAGTTGAGTCATCAAGTCCATGATTTCGCCACTGGACCTTTACCAAGGAAACCTCTTTGTTTCTGAGTTAATGTAGCTTTCTGTCCAAAATCATCATCGGGGTTTCTTCATATGATAAGTCCCTTTGTACGTCCACTGTTTGATAACTTATTACATGATTGGGATCATGAACATATTTTCTAGGCATCGATATATGAAATACGTTATGCACTGCTGCAAGTTCAGGTGGTAAGGCAAGTCGGTAAGCCACAACACCAATTCTTTCAAGGATCTCGAAAGGTCCAATAAATCGCGGTCTCAATTTTCCCTTCTTACCAAATCTCAATACACCCTTCATGGGTGCTACTTTAAGGAAAACTTTGTCACCCACACTAAATTCCAAATCCTTTCTCCTACTATCCGCATAACTTTTTTATCGATCTTGTGCTGTTTTTATTCTAGCTCTAATCTTGTCAACTGCCTCAACTATTCGTTCAATGATTTCAGGACCTAAAATTCTATTCTCTCCGACCTCATCCCAATGGATAGGGGATATGCACTTCCTACCGTAAAGAGCTTCATATGGGGCCATACCTATAGTGGCCTGGAAGCTATTGTCGTAAGCAAACTCCACTAAAGGTAGGTGTGTCTCCCAACTACCTCCAAGATCCAAAACACATGCCCTCAACATATCCTCAAGGGTTTGAATGGTTCTTTCTGACTGCCCATCTGTTTGTGGATGATAAGCAGTACTAAACTTCAGTTTCGTCCCCATGGCTGTCTGTAAACTCTTCCAAAATTTGGACGTGAACCTCGGATCTCTATCTGAAACAATAGTGACTGGAACTCCATGCAGTTTGACTATCTCTTTGATGTATAGCTGTGCAAACTGTTCCATGTTGAAGTTTACCTTGATTGGTAGAAAATGTGCTGACTTCGTCAAACGATCAACCATTACCCAGATAGCATTGTGACCTTTTGCTGTCCTTGGGAGGCCTACCACAAAGTCCATCATTATGTGTTCCTACTTCCATTCTGGAATTTCCAATGGTTTCAGTAGTCCTGATGGTCTTTGGTGTTCTGCCTTGACCTACTGACAGATAATACATTTTCAATGAACTAACCAATTCCTCTCTTCATATTTCTCCACCAAAATGTATCTCGGAGATCTCGATACATTTTCGTGCCACTTGGATGTGCCGAATACGGGGTAGAGTGAGCCTCTTCTAGTATTTCATTTCGTATACTTTCATCTTTAGGTACACATAACCTTCCTTTGAAAATCAGCTCGTTATCTGCAGACATTTCAAATCCTATACGTTTGTTTGTGCCAACCTCAACCTTTATCTTCTTTAGAAATGGATCCTTATTCTGTGTCTCCTTGATTCGATCCCGAAGAGTAGGCCGAATCATAAATGATCTTATTCTTGCTGTAGTCTGAGTCGGTGGTGTGATAACTTTCAATCTCAATTTCTCAAAGTCCCTTATCAAGTGTTTCTGCACTGTGGGTAGAACTGTTAATTGTGATCCTGTCTTTCTGCTTAAGGCATATGCAACTACGTTAGCCTTACCTGGATGGTAATGAATTGTGCAGTCGTACTCTTTCACTAGTTCCAACCATCTTCTCTATCTCATATTCAGTTCCTTTTGTGTGAAGAAGTATTTAAGACTCTTGTGGTTTGTATAAATTTCACACTTCCCACCATAGAGATAATGACGCCATATCTTTAAGGCGTGAACTACCACTATAAGCTCCAAGTCGTGCGTTGGATTGTTTTGTTCACACTGCTTCAACTGTCTCGACGCATAAGCAACCACTTTTCCATACTGCATTAGTACCCAACCCAAACCCTGCTTGGAGACATCGCTATAGATCACAAATCCCTCCGAACCTTCAGGTATCGTCAATATAGGAGCTGAGACTAGCCTCTGCTTAAGTTCTTGAAAATATTTTTCACATTTTTTCGTCCACAGAAACTTCACACCCTTTCTTGTTAACTGAGTCATCGGCCCTGCTATTGTTGAGAAGCCTTCAATGAATCTTCTGTAATAGCCAGCCAATCCTAAGAAACTGCGGACTTCACCCACATTGGTCGGACTTGGCCATTTTGTTATTGCTTCGACTTTAGCAGGATCTACTTCGATTCCTTGGGCGGTAACTACGTGACCAAGGAAACCTATGCGATCAAGCTAAAATTCACACTTTTTGAATTTAGCATATAATTTCTCCTTCCTCAAAGTCTCAAGCACTACTCGGAGTTGTTCCTCATGATGCTTCCTATCTTTGGAGTATACGGGTATGTCATCAATAAATACTATGACAAACTGATCTAAGTACTGATGGAACACTCTATTCATGAGATCCATAAATACAGCTGGAGCATTGGTCAGACCAAAAGGCACGACAGTGAATTCATAATGCCCATACTGAGTCCTGAAAGCAGTTTTTGGTATATCACTTGCCCTGATTTTCAGTTGATGATATCCTGACCCCAAGTCGATCTTTGAAAACACTGAAGCACCCCTTAACTAGTCAAACAAATCTTCTATTCTTGGCAACGGATACTTATTTTTGATGGTTAGATGGTTCAATTCTCCGTAGTCAATGCACATTCTCATACTCCCATCCTTCTTGACAAAAAGTACAGGAGCTCCCCAAGGAGATACACTCGGTCGAATGAAACCTTTCTCTAGCAATTCTTCCAATTGAAACTTCAATTCTTGAAGTTCTTTCGGTGCCATTCTGTACGGGGCCTTGGATATTGGTGCTGCTCCAGGAATCAAATCAATTGTAAATTTCACTTGCCTACCTGCTGGAATGCCTGGCAAATCTTCTGGGAACACATTTGCAAAGTCTCGTACGATATTGATATCGTTAACAGTCATCTCTGTATGTTGAGAATCGATATTGTTAACCAAGAATCCCTGGCATGAATTTTTCCTCAACATCTTCTTAGTTTGTATAGCTGATATAAGACGAGGTAGGGATTTGAACTTTGCTCCAAAGAAACGGAACTCTTCCTCTCCTGGTCTATGAAATTGCACTTCTTTTTCATGACATCGAATGGTTGCATGATTAAATCCTAACCAATCCATGCCTAAAATAACATCGAAATCTTTCATTTCCAAGAGGTATAAGTCTGCTTCCAATATTTTTCCATCAATCTCTAACTTCATAGATTTAGTCATCTGGTTTGTGCAAAGAGTTTTTCCTAACGGGATGCTAGCCTCTAATTCATTATTCGTTCTAACAGATGCAAAGTTTGACCTAGTGACGAAGGATGCAGATATAAAAGAATTGGTAGCCCCAGAATCAAAAAGTACGTAAGCAGGCACATTGGATAATAACAGAATACCTATTTTTGTAATCATAGTGTTAGATTGGCAACCAAAGGACAGAAATGAATGATGTTTAGTCCTAGGTAAAAAGAACATAAGCAGGAATGTAAAAAAATAAATAAATTAATAAATACCTGCTATCACATTCGGATCTTGCTCCGCCTCATGCTGATTCAGTGCGAAAACTCAGGCCTTTCCTTTCTTGTTTTGGTCTAGATCATCATCCTTCTTCTTTGGAGGATCTGGACAGTTGAGAACGATGTGTCTGGGATTACCACACCTAAAGCACACGTTCTTCCCGAGCAAGCATTTACCTTTGTGGAGTTTATTACACTTAGAATAGGGTGTAATACTTCCACTCGTCCTACTAATGTGAATTCCTATGCTTGGTCTTTTATTCTACCAGTTGCGTCTATTTTTACTTTGATCAATCCACTTCCTTTTTCCAAATGACTCTTTGCTCTGCTGGGCATACTGTTCAAATGAGGTCCTCTGATATGAAATAGAGTGAGCCCTCTCCAACATTTCACGATATGAGGTGAAACGATG